CTTGATTTACCTGTTGAAGAAATTAATATTCTTGATTACTGGAAAACTAAATCTAAAAATTCTCAATGGGTTCAACTGCTTGTATAGCACGTGACTACTTAGTAGTTCAAGCAATAAGTGTGGCAAGCAAACAAATGTTTAGCATAGCCAAATTTACTATTAGTCCAACTAGAAATCGTCTTGAGCCAGAAAAGGCCTGTGCTTCTCTCTGTCTTAAAACTTGGTTTGCAACAAGCTTAATAGAGTATGTAGAAGAAAATCAAAGCAGTGCTAAAAAAAAAAAAATAAATAAAATAAAATAAAGTGTACAGTTATTTTTGCAATCGGGATATTAAAAAAGATTATCAATCTAAATTTGTATAACAAACTATTAAAAACTAGTTAGATTCAGTTTATGTAGTGCACTTCCAGTTCAGAACCAAAACAGTCTATTTTAACCAGTTTAACATCCCTAATTAATACTAACTCTCTAATATTAACTACTAACTAAATTTTTTTTTATCTAATAATCCAGATTTTTTTAATAAAAAATCTATATGTCTTGTTGTAAAAATAATTAATATTAATATATTTAACAATCAGTTTGCTGCTAATCTCTTTTTTACTTAACTAACTAATACCAACCAATTATCTATACAATCTTTTACTTTATTTTTCTCTTAATTTTAATATTTTTAGATCTACTAATCTTTTAATTTTTACTTTTTCTTATCTATATTACTATCTCAACAATTTAACATAGCTACTTACTCTATCTTTGCAAAATTATCTATTTAACTATAGTTTAATCTTGATATAGTCACCAGCTTGGAAAACAAGAATCTTGTAATTATAAAAAGTTGTGACTATATAAAGATTAAATTGTGGATATTTTTATATTAGCTTGAATTAAAAAAATAGTGTAATTATATCAAGGTTGTAACTATATCAAGAGTGATTATAATGAGATTAAACTATATTATTCTTACTTGCTATTTAACTTTTTTATTTTTAGTTCTTTTATCTAATCACTAAACTAACTTTTTGTTATTTTTCTATACTTCTTAATTATTCTAAACAATATAGTTGCTTTAAACAAAATTCATTGTTTAGTTGAATTAATAACTTTTTTATAATTGATACTATAAAGTCTAATACTAAACTTTAAACTAGCTTCTTTTTTTAACTTTTCATCTTTTTTAAATAATATCTTTATAATTTCTACCTTGGTGGTATCTTTAAAGCTACAAATTCTAATAATAGCTAACTTTTTAAAACAAGCTTCTACTAAATAATTTGTATAATAGCTAATAAATAGTTTGTTTTTCTTATTGATTATATCTATTAGACTATTAATTATAATAAATTTACTAAAAACTTCAACTTCTAACTAAATAAATATATATATATATTTATTGAATATAATGTTATAGTAAAAACTTTATTTTATGTAGCATTGCTAATTCCTTAAGAGTATTAGAGTAAAGCGTGTTACAGAAATGGAGCCAAAGGATTTAAATAGGTATCCCCCATAATTGGGTGCAGGTATGGCAGCTAGTGTGGAACCTAGGGCAGACTACTTAAATAGGCAACCAAAAGTTGCATGTATGGC